TAGAATTGTCTTTTTCATCCTTTTAGACAAAATGTTTAAAAAACATTTTAAAGTGTTACTGTTTTAAAATGGTGGTGATGTTTTTGTTTGCTGGTTTTTAAATATACAAAGATTTCTTTTGTAAGTGCTCCCTTAAAACAAACTGTCCTCAAGAAGATACAGGCTATGATAAAAGCAGCTTTTTTTTCCCCAGAGAATTAGCAAGGACAGGAGAGGAATCCCTGGCTATAGAAGGCCTGAGCTGTATAAACCTCACTATTGCCCTGTGTCTCAGAACTAACCTGTGGCAGAGCCTGAATTCACAGCCAGTTTTGAACTAAGGGTTCTGCTTCTTCCCCAAGTCTGGAAGTGGCACTCTTGAATTTCTTTACAGAAGGGACTTAAGTGAGACAACCTGGCTGGAAGTGGAGGCCAGGTCAGGATTTAGTTAAGGGATGTCTAAGACTGGAACTGAAGTAAGAGTATATACAGCTTGAGAAGATGAGGCTGAACCAAGGCAAAGCTAAGAACTGAATGATATAAAGTTGTCACTATACCATCATCACGACACTAGCATTTTACATATATACTCCACTTTATAATTCAGTTTAGAAATAGATTATGTATGGGATCCCACCAGCCATCTTTGTTCTTGTTCCCCAGTATGAAAGCTTCCTTCCAGTCAGACCATTGCCTTAGGCTGACTCGCTTGGATCAGCTTTGCCCTTCTCTGTCTTCCTTCAAGACTCAGCTTGTATTCTCTCCTCTCCCTCCTGAGGCCATATCAAGTCACTTCACTAACTGTATTTAGAACAAATTTTATCATGTAACTAATTACTAATTAGCAACATTAATTAATATTTACTAATAACATTGTCCTATATTATTACTTATTTTCCTAGCTAGATACTACCCATTGTTTCTGCCTTTCCATCTCCACCTTAAATAATATTTTTGACCTTTGTACTTGTAGATCGTGTTGTTTATACCTCCATTTGACAATTAATTATGATCCACATCATGCATACATCATTTCTCACTTCCTATTGTTTTCATTGTCTCCTCAATTGTATCTCACTTTGCTATTAACCAAGTTGTATGTGGCAAATGTCTAGCACAGTTGTTGCATGTGGAAGCATATTATATTATTTAATGCTGTGGCTTTCTAAATTGTGAGATGAAATGAGATCAGTTGCATTCAGCCCTAGACTCCCAGCACTTTCTTTACCTACATTTCCAACTTTATCTAATTAAGAGCTAAGCTTTTGTTTAAAGATTTCAGAGACCATCTCCCCTGGCCCCAAATGAAGACCGTTTATTAAACATATCTACATGTATTTTTTGTTTGCTCAATCTAATTGCAAATCTTGAATCCTGGTCTGCTGCTTCTTCACAGTTCCTAGTTTGATTTTAAATAAATTAGTTGGTTTTTAATAAATACTAAGATGAAATAAATAAGACTATGATAATATTTATATCTTAAGAATTTTACATTCAGTTCAATTCTAAAAGGTATTTAATTTTTAAGTAAAAAAAATAGTTCAAATTTCCTTAACTTATCACAAGTGTTGAACATATAAAATCATGCCTTAGAGAAGTTCACCCACATGCGCGCGCGCGCGCATACACACACACACACACACACACACACACACACACACACACTTTGAGAGTTCCAAGAATAACCCTGAATATTAATGGCCCAAACAGTGTTCATTTGACATGTTGACTTGTTCACCAGTGCAATTTTGTACTTTGAACTTTTCAAACCATTGCCTATATTTTGGCTTCATCTTTGTTGACAGGTAGGAAACCAAAAACATCAGCCTGATTCACTTTAAAATGGCATAGACTCATTATCATGTTGCTTCTTTAGCAAATATTTTTGTGTGTATGGACACTCTGTATCAATTCCATTAAGGCATTTTCAGATACAAATGATTTAGGTTGACAAAATTCAGTTTTTCCTGGACATCCATGATACCAAATAGTGGCTTCCCCCACACTCCTAGCAGCCACCCTCCTGTTCCCATACATAAATGGCAGCCAGCAATGGCTGGAAACAAAGGACTCTCTCCCAGTCTCTGAATACAGTGACATTCATTCTGAGAGAAGCAGGGGCAGCTTTTTGAAAGCCGACTTCTTCAGCTCGACAATAACACACAATGAGTTATTGACTTGTTTATATACGGAGCTCTTTTCAGTAACTAACTCTGACTCCCACAGTCTGGACAAATGATTGATTTCGTGGTTAGAAAAAGAGAAAGCTCTTGCGCTAAACTCTGTAGTGCAAACTACTTCTTCCCCATTTGTTCCTTAAATGAATAGGACCTTATTAAAATGCACTTTCCAAAAAAATACCTGCAGCTGGCCTTTATAACCATGTTTTGTATATATAAATAAGTAATTTGTCCCAGTCTTTTGTATATTAACAGACCATTGGGAAACTTGTCAATATATATGAACGCTGATTGTCCTGTTGTTTATGCTAAACTGTATTTCCTATATTGATCTGCATGTAAAATATGGATCAAATAATTTATTATTAAATCAATTTACCAGCCAAAAAGTTAGATTTTTGATAGAAAGATAGATTCCGTTTTCATGTTGTGTTACATTGATTTATTAAGGACATTATACACAACGCATATCATCTACTTCACAATTGAATCACTAGCTGTTCTGAATACAGAGAAAAGTACGTGCAGAACTGTAGTTCAGAGCGCTGAGAGTATGGTTAGCTCTTTGGTTAGCACCTACCTAGAATGTTAATATGTAGTTAAGTAGACAGATCATACTAGCTTGTTTGATTACTGTACCTTTTTAAAAGGTATTAATAATTGGGCTCCAGAGTTTATTTAAAGTTATTTTCTACTATAAAATATATTTTATTTGATCTTACTGTCATGTTAAAACTTTTACACAGTTAAAACTTTTTAATCTTTGTGGTTTTTATAAAGTACATCTTTAAAATATTTGGGGGAGAAGTTAAAAAAAAACAAGAAAAGCCGTGTACTGTTAGTGACACACACAAAAGATCACTGCTGCTTTGTCTGTATTTCTCCAGAAGGAGGTCTTGAATCTGTTGTCCTTTCTAGGATGTCCATAGTTGAGCTTCCTGAACCAGCAAATGTTTGAAGAATTCCTCAAATTAAGAGCACTTTTTATTATAGTCACAACAGGCTATATATGTTATATAGAACTATATATTACCAAATTATGACCCTTTAGGGCTTTAGAGAAAATATAATGCCTGCTACCTTAGCATCAATAGTTTGATATAAAATAGATACAGTCAGAAAGGTAAAAGTCATTGGGAATCATTTCATTGAAACCTGTTGCTTCAGGTATAGTTCTGTGGACTTTTTTCTTAATTCCTGAACAGGCTAAGGTAAACTTACTTCTTTTTAATCTTGTTTCTCTAACCAGAGGACTTTTTTTGAAGCATTTTCTGTTCAGTTTTATTTGACAGAGACATTATGTTTCTTGTTTTTTTCCATTTCTGCTACTGTCTTTCACTAGTCTCTTGATTGTTCTAGTATGGTTACCATTAATATTAATGAGACCAACTTTAACCTAATTTTGGACAGCTAATATTTGTTACATATTTTTAAAATCTTAGCAACAACACCTGACAAAAATGGTAAATTAAACCTTCCTATTTAGCTTTAGATTTTGATGTACACAATGAATATTTAAGGATATTTTCTTACATTTAAAAAGGGTAAGATACAGTTAGAACAAAGTGTTTCTCACTGCCTTATTTGGTAGAGACTTGGTTTTTCATAGTTACAAACAAATTTTAGCCATCATTCTGTTTATTTTTTTTATTGAGGTATAATTGACATATAACATTATATTAGTTTCAGGTGTACAACAAAATGATTTGATATTTGTATATATTGCAAAATTACCACAATAAGTTTAGTTAACATCTGTCGCCATATAAGGTTATAATTTTTTTGTGTGTATAATGAGATTTTTTTAAGATTTACTCTCTAAGCAATTTTCAAATATGCAATATAGTATTATTAACTATAGTTCTCATGCTATACATTACATCCCCATGACTTATTTATTTTAGAGCTGGAAATGTGTACCATTTGACCCTCTTTACTTGTTTCACCCACCTTCCACACCTTCCCCTGGCAATCAGCAATCTGTTCTATCTATGAGCTCAATATTTTTTTTGGAGGGGGTTAATATTAAACATATAAATAAGATCATATGGTATTTGTCTTTCTCTGACTTATTTCACTTAGGACAATATCCTTTTTTTATTTTTAATTTGAAGTTTCTACCCTCTTTACATATGAAAGATTAGCCTCAGAAATATATAACCCATTGACAAAAATTATTTCATACATTTTAGATGAGAACAGTAAATCAAAAGCATGCGATTTTGTCATAACGAAGAAACAAGATCTTCTCCTCTAAAGTGACAGGAGAGAAAAATCCTGTGATTGTTGTCATGACATAGGTCTTGAAGAAAAGATGCTATTAGCACTGCATATTATTAAAAAAATTTTTTTTAAGTTTCTATTTATTTATTTTGAGACAAAGAGAGAGACAGCATGAGCAGGGGAGGGGCAGAGAGAGGGAGAGAAATTCCAAAAAGGCTCCTCACGGTCAGCGCAGAGCCTGATGTGGGGCTCGAGCTCATGAACCATGAGATCATGACCTGAGCCAAAATCAGGAGCCAGATGACTGAACTGAGCCATCCAGGCACCCCAGCACTGCATATTACTTATACCTTATGGGGAAAATCCACTCTCTGATTTTGACTTTTTACTTTCAATAATTTTCTCTAGATGATTGTATTAAAATCTCTTTTGGAATGGCTGGTCTGCTTCCAGAAAAGGCCCATGTGTGTATCTTTATATTTTGTTAACTATTCATTTCTCAATATCTTACTGGATTCTCTATTTGGTATGCATATGATGTTTTCCAATAATGTTGATAGGTTTAGTCCTCAGCATATGTAGATTGGTATAGTGCTTCTTCAGAAGTTGAATATTAGAATGGAGGTGATTTTTCCAACTGTGGTGCTTTCGAAGGTAAAAAATTCCCACCTTGTAAAGAGTTATGTGGAAGCAGTTCTAAATGTCATGCCTCTGGGAAACCTCATTAAAATCTGACTTACTGCTGGGGCACCAAAGAGTTTAGTAGCTCTGTTTTTGTTGTGTTTTGCTTTCCTGCAAAAAAAAAGATCTGCTCTCAATGTTTGTGCATTTGGAAATTAAATTTGTAAGAAATGGATGAGCTTGGTGAATATTTCCCAGTCCTTCTTCTTCACCCATCTCTCCCTGAGATGAGAATCCCCCCATTAAGAAATAGCCATGGAGACTTGACACAACTATATTGTGCCACCACTTACACACAGGCTTCCATGAGGTAGATATTTGACTTTTTTTAATATTATGTTTTTATATTACTTCAGTACAGGAAAAAATATTCTTTGGGGAAAGTGATCCTAAGAATAATTTCACATAATGATTTTTTTTCCAGTTTAATTGAGATGTAATTGACTTAGAGCACTGTATAAGTTTAAGGTATACAGCATAATGACTTGACTTTCTTATATATTGTGAAATGATTACCACAAGAAGTTTAGTTAACATCCATCATCCTATTAGGCACACACACACACACACACACACACACACACACACACACACACAAGAAAAACACCGTGTTTTTTCCTTGTGATGAGAACTCTTAGGATCTACTCTTTTAACAACTTTCAGATATACCATTCAGCATTGTTAACTGTAGTCATCATGTTGTATATTACATGATGATTATTTTGTAACAAACTTGTTTTTAGCGGTTCTCAATCTAGGACAGGGATCAGCAAATGTTGCCTGCTGAGCAAATTCAGCCTGCCTCTTTTTGTCTGTTTTTTAAGTTTTACTGAGGCATAGCTACATTCATTCCCTTATGTGTTGTCTATTTCATGCTACAAAGGCAGAGTTGAGCAATTGCAACAGAGACTGTATGCCCTACCGCCCAAGCCTAAAGTATTTAGTCTCTGGCCCTTTACAGACATGTTTGTCAACTCCTTGTCTAGGGTGATCATCAAAATCACCTAAGGATTCCTGGGCTTTTCCCCTCTACCAGGACAGAATCTAGGATATACTGAGCTATATTACCTGTCATTGGATGAAGAGTTCACAGTTTTGATACTATTCTTGTAGTATATATCCATAACTAGATTGAGGAAACTGTATTATTGATTCCCACCCCTGTTTTATCTCAAGTATATGGGTTTTGAAGCAAGGTATGGATTAAAGATTCATGTTAACTCAAACATTGTTTTCCAAGTATACAACTGAGAAACACGAATTAAAGCAACAACATTAACAAAACAAGCAAAACAAAACAAAAGCATGGCCATTATTCATTCTTAGGCCTCAACAAAGAGATACAACATGGCAAGTCCCTTTCTTGAGAGTTGTTAAATATTCCAATTCACAAGTTTTTGTATTAGGCTGTTTCTTTCTTTCTATTAATACCAGTTTGCTGAGTGAATATTATTGTGTTAGTTCAGCTTTTTCCTTTCCTTGAAAATAGCTTCTGTTTCAATGGGGATTATTTATAAAGAAATACAGAATGGACACATTCACCTTTTCATAACATATGGGTTAGCAGCAATAGTAGACCTTTATCTGCCTTTGTAAGTGGATCAGGTTGTAGATAATTGTTCAGGTATTTAAGATACACTATTTTTTGTCATGAAATACTATAAGTCATTTTGAACTGTTCTAGAGTGTTTGAATTGATGTTTGCTTTTGGTTTATGTTCCTGAATTTTTATTCTGATCTAACAGCAGCCAATTTATTCCCTACTGGCAATGAAAAATTGTAATAGGAAACTATCAGCCTAATAAAAAAATTGCTATGCTCATTTTTATAAAATACTTTTAAAAAGTATTCATCAAATGTCTGCAATTAAGGATCCTCTCCCAAATCATATTTAAGTAAACTTAAAAACAATAAAAATGGAAGTGAAAGATTCAGTGTTAAATGTTTTAAATATAAAAATGAACTTTCAACTTAATCTAAATGGGGTTCATTTTCATATAAGTATGGGCCAAATTAGTTTGAAATTACCTTCCATGATTATATTAAATTGGTTGTTTGAATAAATGTTGCAGTTAGGTGTCAGTAGGTGCCTGTTTTCATGTGATTTATTTATTTTTTCCTAGTTGAACCTGGCTATGGATGAACAGAAAGAGAAAATTACCAAAAAAATAATTCTTTCAATAACAGCGAAGGAACACCATAAGGTACAAGAAGAAGTAAGTAACTTACTTTTTAAGCTCTATGACAAAACTATAATGAGTGCTCATTTTAAAATTAAGACATATTTTACTTGGTTCTGATAGTGAACCAGCTATAGTTATCTGATAGCAACAAAATGGAAAAAAAATGGTCAAAACTGGAAGCATTTTATTGATCTAGGCAGCTTGAAAAATAATTATATGGTTGAAAGAATAAATATTGTAATTTTTTGAAAATACTTCTGACAACTTTCTCATAAATTTCCTAAATTAGGAAATTATTACATGCAAGTTGAATCTGTAAATTATAACTAACACATGCTAACATAGGGAAAAGGTTAAGATTTTATTAAACTTTGAATAAGTACCAAATATTATTTTTATTTTCTGAGTTTCTAGGAATGGAGTTATTGTTCTGAATTTTAGAAATGCTAACAATGTTATCTCCTAGCAAGGAAAAACTGTAGTTTTCAAATGTCAAGCTTAAATGAGCTAATCATAAGATTCTGTAGGCAATATTATAATGAAGAACTATTAAAGCAAACCTTCTCTCCAAAGCTCATGCTGTGAAGTTGACAGCATATTCCATAAATGAAATAATAATACAAAATTGGTGTTAGACAAAAGGGGAAAATGATTTTCATGTAGTTTCCTGGAATGCAAAACCATTTACTCTTTCTGAGGAGAGATCATGAATTTGCTAATTCCCATGTACCACTGTCAGTAAATAAAATCATAATCAACTTAAAGAATAAGGTAATGTGAATATATGAAAATTAAATTTTCATGTCATTCTCTTTTGACATTTCGGCAAAGAAATCTATCCAAGCTTTGGGGTTTTAATATTTTCTTATCATTGTGATTGCATCTGTCCAGCTAACTATGTATTTTACAAAAAATGAACAGGTACAATGCATCACATTTTCCTCAGAGAATTCAAGTCTTTGAATTAGAGATTCAAATTAATATCTGGGACTTGTATATGTCCATTATTAAAGACTATATTGTAAGTATAGATTGGTAATCTCAATAGAGAATATTTCATAAGAAATATTCAACTTGAATAGTTTCTAGATGTAGCAAATAACAATTGTATAGATTTAAGTTACAGTTCTCACTCAATCTACTTAATATTAACAAGTTAAAAGACTAGATTTTTTAGTTACAAATTTTAAAATATTATACTCTATTCATTTGGAAATGTTTTATCCCAGTTGGAGAGTTTTATTACATGTTTTACAGTAATTTAAATGGAATCTATCATGTATCTTGATATGGTAAACTTTAAGAAATACAAATAAATTTCTCTACTTAGTAGCATTAAAATTACATCTATAATGTGATGTAACACAGTGACAAATTATTATTAGAGATAAATATAAAACACCTAAAAGAATGAACAGATAGATATTTTCTGCCTTTTAAGTATTGTAATTATTTTTTTGATATTTTATGCAAGTCTATAATTTCATTGGAACTGAAAACTTGAAGCGGCCCAGGAAAATTATCATTATGCTAAATATATCATTTCAAATGCCACCTTGTTAGCCATACTGGAAATGAAAATGATCTTTTCTGGAAAATCCAACAGTATTCATGTTTATTTGCTATTTCTTCTTTATTGTCATCTTAATGCTTACTTAATACCTATATACTTCAGTGTTCTTCATGTACAATACGTTATTTGGTCCCATATTTGCTTGATCAGCTATGGCTTCAAATGCCTTCTGTTTGCTTAAAAAATCAAATATGCAGGAAAGGGAATATATTTTGTGTGTTTTGTGAGTATATGTGTGGGTGTGTATGTAATAGTCTCTAAGTATATTATATATGCTATGGTAATAATTTCTATGTTATTACTTTGAAAGTGATTATATTAATTATGATGTGTAATTTCTAGTGTTTGGTTAGAAAAAGTGAGTGCTGTCAAGTTTTGACCCTAATTCATATTCAGAAGTGTGAAATCATGGTAGTGAAGAGAAATGAAAATGTTGGGAAGGGGGAGAATTACTTCAAAATTTATTTTGCCCACAGTTTATTTTTTACAAAAATATTTTATTTCTAGATATAGTTCAAAATCCAAACTAAACATCATAAAATCTGAGATTTACATTTCTGCTGCCTATAGTTTTATCTTAAAACCTTGTTTTATTTCATGTAATTTTTCCACATTAAGCCTAGAAATAATGTATGTATCATAAGACTACTTTGAGGCGATGTTACATGTTAAACGAATTTTTTGGAAATGATTTATTGGAAATATGCATGCAATTTGTTATTGTTGGTTTAAAAGTTATTCCAGGTTCTCTGAAAAATAAATACCAAGATAGGACTAGATGTGTATGTATTGTATTAGAAGAAATGTCTTTGAGAGAAATGGGGAGAACTCTGGGTAAGGCTGCAAGACCTATCAGACTGAAATGCAGGCTTGAACTCAAGTGAAGGAGAAAGGAAGGGCAGACTAGATGGAAACATCTTAGAGAGCGGTGCAGTCTTAGGAATGACTAAGCTTCACAGCGGTGAAGCTGATGGTGTATCCTTGACCTAAAGCTGTCCTTCAGAGGAGTCCTATGACTCCCTGAGTTAGACCTGCTTCAGTATCCTCAGCCATTGGTATCAACCTGGCGATGGATTTCAGAGCACAGTATCTGGGACTCTTGGTTCATTATACTCCTGTCGTCAGAAGCCTATGAGGCACATTCTCATACCTTCCTCAAAACGTGTAGCTGACGTTATTCTTGTTGCCATCAACATAGCCTTATAAAGATATTAGAAATATCTTTATTTTAGGTGAAGGGGAATCAGAGTACACTTCTCCTGATGAGCACTGAGTAATATATGGAATGGTAGCATTACTATATTATACACCTGTAGCTAATATAACACTATATGTTAACTACGCTGGAAACAAAAATTTTTTAAATGTCTCTGTTTTAATGGCTCCTTCCTCTATGAGTGGATGGGAATGTCAGACTCTTGAATAGGCTTAAAAGCAGCACACAGAAGGGCCCTCTAGCTGGAAACAAGATAAGTCTTCTTCCAAGATATTTCCATTTCAGAAGGGTTCTGGAAACTATTAAAAAGTTGGGAGCATTTGAAGCGGTATGAGTAAGAAATGGTGCACACCTCAAGTTCCCTTGTAGCTACACTGCAACCCATCCTTCTAAATCAAGAGATACCTTACTTTTCTCATAGGCTCTCATGTCTTTTCTAGTCTTTGCTCATCAAGTCTGGGTTATGGTTCTTTTTAACCTGGAAAACACTGTGTCCTTGGGCCTGAAATCAAGAAGAGATTTTAGGAAATTTAAAATACCCATTTTCATCTCCCTGTCCCCTTTCTGGTTCTTCTTAATTATGTCATAAATTAGAAAGTTTCTTGTTCTTAAGTTTAAGCACTAACCTAGCTTGGAGACCACCCCCCCATGTATTGTATGCCAAGATGACATTCCTTGCATAGAGGCTGCAGCCCTTTGTGCTGATTTCAAGTGATAATTTAGTGCAAAGTTCTCTGGAGTCCTCCTTACTAACATAAATGGACTCATGGGCACATAGCAATCAGGCAAACAGCTGAACTCATCATTAGAAAAACCAGGAGATCCTCAAAACCTCATTCATAATAGCCAAACTACAATGTACAGAATGTATAGTTCAGAACATACAACTTCAATATGCATACGTTTTAGAATGATTAGGAGCAGAATACTATTTTGTGCCAAAATCTAAATCTAAATATCTACATCATTTCAAGAATTTAATAAATTCAAGAGTTACATGAATGTGTCATAAAAACATGACCAAACTACCTAATGTACGTTTTTAAGCAAAAACCTCTGTGTATGTTTATAGACAGGTGTGCATTTGCATTCTTTCAGAAGTTTGGTCTTTTCCCCACCGAATACTCATATTTTTTTTGCTACCTCCTGCTCATTTGTCCCTCTCCCAAATTCTGTACAAGTGTCATTTCCGTGCTGCATTTCCACGGAGAATGAAGAGTAGAATGTGTAGGCTTTCTGCTGCACAATGAGATGGTGCATTATTTCAACATATGCATACGTAAGCCTTCTTTTGTGAATGGGACTGATAGGGTCAGATAATGTTTAAAGGGAAAGGCTTTATGTCTCTCAGGCCTCTATGTTTCCACATGGATGCTCCCACACACACATAGATTGAATTATGAACAGACCCATTAATGCTGGGATCACAAAAGGTCAAGTTTTGTCTCCTTTTACCCCTATTCACATTGCCTTTGTAGAGAGAGAGAGAAAAAAAACGGATTTGCAGGAAAAAAAGATTCATGATGAGGAATTTTAAAGAGCATTTTTCCCCTTCTAGCAACATCTGTGATTTGAAAAAAAAAAAATCATATTATGTAAAATAATTCAGGATTATTGTATTACTTATCCAATTTTTGGTATATGAGTTATTTCATGTGTAGGGTTGTCTTTAAGGGTAATATGTTATCACAATAACTGAAAACAAAATATAGCACTTTGAGCATATCTTAAAGACATTATGAATATGTAAAGAAACAAAGTTTTTGTAAAATTGGATGGAAATTTTATCAAAATGTCAGTGGCAAGATTCTTGATATGTTTTCTCATATGTTTAATATATGTTAATTTTTGCTAGGACATCTTATTTCATAGCTTTAACTTATTAAAAAACAGGTGATAATTGGTATAATTATATATACATTAACAGATAATCATGGAACAATTGAAGTAGCAAAAATGATAGAGACATTTTTTGAAGCAACAAAGGATTCATAGGAAATGAAACTTTTAAGGCTCTAACCAATAGCCCTTTAGGATGCAAATGACATCACCAATTGTATGGTTGGTTGATTTCTGATGTCACATGAAATCCCCTATCTGTGAAAGGCTATAGATTGTGACAGTAAAACCAGTCATGTATAAAAATGTTCTCAAATCAAAGCCTGAAATAATAATAATAATTCTTCTTCTTCCTCCTCCTCTTCCTCCTCCTCCTTCTTTTCCTCCTCCTCCCCTTCTTCTTCTTCTTCTTCTTCTTCTTCTTCTTCTTCTTCTCCTTCTCCTTCTCCTTCTTCTTTGGGTGGTTTTCTGTAGTACAAAATATAGTAAATAAAACTGAAGAGAGCAGTATTACTGACTAGCCTTATATATTAAATGATACTTAGTATACTTTAAAGACTACATACATTATATCTTTTTGAATCATTTGATTTCAATAATTTGAAATAATTTTGATTCATATGATTTTGATTCATATGATTTCGGTCATATGAGCCCAGCTGGGGTTAGGGCTAGGTTCAGAGAGGATCAGTGCTTTGGAGAAACGGCATCTGGAGTCTTTGTATTTAAGGGCTTTGGTTCTTGGATTTAAATATTGTCAGATAACTATAAGAGCAAGTCATTTGGCCTGTTTTGGTCTCTAGTTTTGGTATGATACATATTATTATCCATCATTTTTGACGATAATTCTGAAGGGTAGTATATGAAAACAAGCCTGGAAACTGACTGACATTGGATCATTTATCATCTCTATATTTTAAATGTTACAACTTTATAATAGAGTTAACAGTACTATGGAAAAGCAGAGAAATTCGCTCCAGAAAATAGATCTTTAATCTTAAATACCATCCTGAGGAATCTGGGGAAGTAACTGGAAGGTTCAGTATGCTATTGAAGGTAGATTAATTTTGTGGAGGTGGCAGGATGAATTTGAGGTGGAGAGACCATTCAGTAGACCACTCAAAACTCACTTGTTTTGGTAATTCAAGTAGGAAGAGAGGATGAGGAGATGAGGGAATGGACCAGGTATTACTTATACAAAAGGGAAGGTAGGAGAAGGAATATATGAATTTGGAAGAAGGGTTGGCAAACTACAGCTCTAGGGCCAAATCCAGCCCATTGATTAGTTTTCTAAATAAACTGTTATTGAAGAGGAGCCTGGATGGCTCAGTTAGTTTAGCCTCTGACTCTTGATTTCAGCTCAGGTCATGATCTCAAAGTTTGTGAGTTCAAGCCTGGTGTCTGGCTCTGTGCTGACAGTATGGAGCCCGCTTGGGATTCTCTCTCTCGCTCTCTCTCTCTGCTCCTTCCATGCTCATGCTCTGTCCCTCAAAATAAATAAATAAACTTTAGAAAAAGTGTTATTGGAATACAGTCATGACTATTTATTTACATGTTGTCTGTGGCTACTGTCAAAGTACAACTGCAGGTTCGAATAGTTTTGATGGAGACTATGGCCCATGAAGCTGAAAATATTTATTATCTGTCCCTTTTAGAGAAAAAGTTTGCAAATTCTTTATTTAAAAGAAGGTTTCTTCAAAAGAAGTAGATAATTGATGACATTGGGACAAATAAGAGAGGTATGAAAGACCAAAGAAAAATGGGAATCATTTAAATTAGCTTGTTCATATGCACATAATGCTTCTAAAGTTCTTGAAAAAAGTTAAATGTAACTGAAGTGCTTATATATACTTATAAAAAACCGTATGCAATCTTGAAATAACTACATAGAATAGAAAAATTAATATTCAAGTTATATGGATGATAGTACAAACTTGTTTTCATTGACTTCTCAGAAATCCTCTGCAGAAGGGATAGAAATCATGGATATAACATCAGAGTTGGAGTACAGACTGGGGCAAATACAATATTTTCAGTTGAAAGAGAGAGAAAGAGGATGAGGGAGCCTCTTGGAGAACAATTTCCCTTTGTTCACTATGGACATTGAAGTGAGATAGAGAATCTATGCAGCAAATAGTTTCAAATTTTTATCTGCATTATGTGAAGTAGGTTAGGGATAGGAAAGATACACCAAGAAAAAGAACCAAAACTTGATGTTCAGAAATCACCTAGATTTAAAAAAGAACTATAATAATATAATGTGCATTAGGCACCTACTATAAGTTAGACATTGTATTGTTCATTCTATAATCTCATTTAATTCCTAATATGGTAAGGCTGGTATTATTCTTCATTACAGATGAGGGTTTTATTACCTGTTCATTGTCTCTCAGTCAGTAAATGGGAAGAGCCATGATTTTTAACCCAATATTTCAAATAGACCCTGCTCTATTCAGAGTCATTCATAATTCTAAATGGGTCTAATTTAATCACTTCAAAGATTCATAGATAAAGTGGATTTAAGCTTTTAGTCTCTTTTGGTCACTACCATATGTCAGCTAGTGTTTGTGTAAGAATCCAGTCCATTAGAGAAAACATAAATATATATAACACAGTGTTCATATAATAAAATTAAATATTGTCATTGGTACATAGTTGGGAATAATTGAAGTCTTAGGAAAATTTTATTTTGTTAATCAGTTTAGAAGTCCTTTGCAAACTTTTCAGAAGCATGTTTCTTTTCATATATAGAGACATTTTTCATTCCGTGATTGTAAATGGCTACCTGAAGTGCAAAGGTTATAAATTTTCTCATAAATAAAATTAGTCGATGGAAGAATGCATATCTTTTCTGTTATCTTTACTTGAAGGTGGATCTATACTCAAATTCTTGTTTTGAAGTCATTTTTCCTCCCATCAAACTAGGTACTCAAAAATCTAATAGGTGTGACATCAACAATTACTTCTTGCTAACAACTCTTGTAATTTAACCCCTTCAGGTGAGCAGGCTGATTGATGAATTGCAGACAGCTATCAAAAGCAACAGAGGTCATCTCTCAAAACTTGGCCCCCAATTACAGGCTGAGCAGGAGCAATTCTCCTCTTATGTCTACCAACACATTAAAAGCCTTCCAGCAAACACTCTTATCCCGGGAGGCCTGCAGCTCAAGGTGGGTGTCATTCTATAACTCTCGCTGGGTTCAGCTAGAGACGAAAACACTCTGCACCATTTGAAGACCCTTCTAACAATGCCACTCAGCTTGAATTTCTTTTAATATTGTCTTTCTCAAACTGGAGTTTGGCTTACAAGTGCTAATATTACCATTCAGGCAGTATGTTTTAAAAGAAAATACCTAGAGGCCTTTGAAAAGTGGATTTATAAGCTTAAGTAGTTTTTCCAACTCGAGAAAGTAATTTTAATGAAGAAATTTAATCATGTGAACATTGAATACCTTTCCAAGAAACATATATTTTTAACAGGAGTCAATATGTGTTTCAGTTAAAAAAATAGCTTATTTAGAGAAATAGGCAAGGCTTTAATAATTGACAGACAGTGGCAATAGGAATTAGAGGTGAAAGGCCAGGTGACTGATTGATGTTCAAACTACATTTCCAAGGAAAAGGATCTGTATTGGATAAGTGTGACACATGTCTGAGTTCACTTGGTAAAATCAATACTTAAGAATATACTGGGAAAAAAGGTGAATTGGTTATTTGTCAGGACAAGATGGCTAAATGTCCTAGGCTACCTTTTGTTATTACATCTTTCGAAGAGAAAAAGAGTAACTCATACTTTACTAAAGTGGATCAGGTACTGAAAGCTTAAGGAATTTAAATACTTTTCTTTATCATAATCGAGTGTCCATGTTAAGTCTGTCAATTGTTCTATAATTTCATATCCCACATTTCAAGAAAAAAAATTTGAATTACTCAACAGATGGCCCTTTTCCATCTAAGTAATGAACCATTACGACTCATCATTTTCTTTGTTTAGATTTGAATGTGATAGCATTCAAAGTAAATATATTTCGATCAGCCTTTATCTCTATAATTCTTCTTTCTTAATTTCAGTTTTATTCAACAAATATAAACTTTATATTGTAATTACGAGCATTTTATTTTCTATCTATAACTTTTTCAAATGACATTTACATGTTTGCATTTGGAATGAGAATATTACCACAATATTACCCAAATTGACCTTTGGGGAAACGTAATTACACAATAAACAAAATTTATTTTCCATAATCTGTACTAGTCAGCTAAAGGTTTAGGAAGCGATGCTTAAAACATCAAGGTCAGGGTTCCCATAGTACAGTAGCATTCTTCTTTTCCAGACTTCTGACATGGTTACAGATCTATTCCAGCATTTTGCAAAGTACTTGCTATTGATTAAGACAGGAACTAGGTGAGGGAGCGTGGTTGCCTTAACATTTATTCCCACTCAGTTGTATCAGCAACTATCATATGTCCTGGAAAAAAATGAAAGTTTTTTTCCCCCTCACAGGTTTGTTCCATATTTCTGAATTTTTTCTAAAGTTTATTTATTTATTTTGAGAGGGAGGGAGGGAGAGAGAGAGAGAGATAGGGAGAGGGAGAGGGAGAGAAAGAATCCCAAGCAGGCTCTGCACTTACTGAGCCAGATGCAGGGCTCGATTTCTTGAACCATGAGATCATGACCTGAGCCAATATCAAGAGTAGGACACTTAACCAACAGAGCCACCCAGGTGCCCCTATTTCTGAATAATTTTTATCACATTGGTGATAGTTATTCACATTAGCACATGGGCTTGATAGCAAATATTTAACTTTAGGATCTGAGCTACTACTCTCATATACTTCTCTTTTAATATGCTTTAAAATTCTTTCCGTACTAGCAAACAGAAGAGGAAATGTATATATGCAAAGAAACCATCTTCTTGTGTTTGGTTAGACTCACTGTGGTGTTCAGTACGGTACCCATGAGCCACATGTAGCTATTTAAATTTAAATTAATAAAAACTAATTAAAATGAAAAATCCAATGCCACCTCTCATATGTCCATGACTTTCCTGGTTGTAGCACTGAAACCTTCACATCCAGGAAACCTCTCAGTCCCAGGCAAAACAGATGGTCGGTCACCTAGCCTTATCTGAGTTCTCTCTCCCTTCTCTAAGGTGTTCTCTCTCTCTATTATTCTTTTCCCATGAGCTACTCAGCTTCTCTCCTTTTGCCCCAGTTTTCACCTTGGGAACATCCAGTTTCTCTTAGGGAATAAATTCCTTTCCCCATATTCCAAGAAACCTGGGCATCAGCCACATCCTCAGGCTTTAGCACAGACCACTGGTCTTTCAATCTTGGCTGTCATATTGGAATCATTTAGAGACGTTTAAAAAAAAATCAATGCCCCCATCTCCAGAGGTTTTGATTTAATTGGTTTGGTAAGCTGAATCTTGCTTCTACTGGTCTGAGATTGCTGATTGTTAAACTTTCAGAAATTTTGTCAGCCAGTTGTTAAATACAGCCATAATTAAAAATTATATAAACTGGGTACTTGGATGGCTCAGTTGGTTAAGTGTCCAACTCTTGGTTTTGGCTCAGGTCATGATCTCATAGTTGGTGAGTTTGAGCCCCCCATCGGGCTCTGTGCTGCCAGTGTGGAGCCTGCTTGGGATGCTGTCTCTCCCTTTCTCTCTGCCCCTCCCCCACTTGCTCTCCCTGTCTCTTTCTCTCTCAAAAATAAATAAATAAACTTAATTTTTTAAAATTATATAAACTTACAATTAAATAGGTCACACCTAAAGGAAAGGTAATAGGGGCGCCTAGGTGAGCCAGTTGGTTAAGCATCCAACTTTGGCTCAGGTCATGATTTTATGGTCCGTGAGTTCGAGCCCCAGGTTGGGCTCTGTGCTAACAGCTTGGAGCCTGAAGCCTGCTTTGGATTCTGTGTCTCCCTCTCTCTCTGCCCCTCCCCCGCTCATACTCTGTCTCTCTCTGTCTCTCAAAAATGAATAAACAATAAAAAAATTTTTAAAGGTAATAGTCTTCACTTCCTAATTATTTTAATACATTTTGCTAGTACCTATTCTCCTTGAAGTTATTTATGCTATCATGTCTGTATAGTAGAAACACTATATAATGGTCTGCTACTGTGCATCTCTTCCAAAGTTTATATTCAGTGATGGCTTGTAGTAACTCAAAATTGTTGGGAGTAGATGTTTGGACTGATGGGAAAGAAACTGAGATATGTAGTTTTCTAAGCCAGTTCTTATGTCTGAAACAGCCAGAAAGGAGAGAAAAAAATGCATTAGCAAAGTATATCCCAAATATTCAGAATTGCAAATCTTAGAATTGAGGCATATTCCTGTACTTCCTCTTAACTAGGGAGAACTTGCTAATTTCGACTGAAGAGCTATTGAACAAAAGCCCACAGCATACCATCCTTAGTTAATTCCAGAATCAGTTCATGTCAGTTGCCTGGCTGAACTCTAATTTTCCATGGGGTGTGGATGAGCTGCCCTTACTTGGAGCACATTCTCTAACCCAGTTACCTCTGAGTTACTGTGGCCAAGACCATATATTTTCTGGTTATGAATAACTATCTCACCTTATGACATGACCTATGCAGAGTGTTAGATGATATATCCATAAGCAAATATGTTTTCTATTTATAAATCAAAGTCTAGTTCTAGTAAAAAATAATAAAAAATAATACAAAAAATTCCCCTTTTCTATCCATTTTGATCATAGAAAAGTACCTGATTAATACAATAAATTAGGATGATCATCTTTCTAATTTTCTCTCTTTGATGAATTATCTCTCTGTTGAATATTTATAGTTATATGTATATTTATTTATATATTTTTGTATTCATTATAAACATATTTGTTATATATAAATATATTTATTTACTATAAATATTTATTTTACTTATTTTTAGTAAAAATTTAAATAGGATAAATTTAAATAATTTTAATTTAAATAAATTTAATTTTAAATAAAATTATTTTTTTATTATAAATATTATATTTATTTATTATGAATATAAATATATAAATATATATTTACTTATATTTATACATATTATACCTCTATGTTTATATATACATTTAAATATATTATACATCTATGTTTATATACATACATGTGTGTGTACAAAATAATAATGTGTGTGTACAAAATAATTGATTGTAGTTGTCATCATCTTCTAGAGCAGAGGCTCTCAATGATGGTCTAAAGGCCAGGTGTGATTCAAAATCCCCTGGGGTGCTTTTTCATATTGTATGTGGTTGTCTTTACCTCTTCACTAAGGTTCTCATCCTTATCATATCTCTCACTGATAATTTACAAATAGCAGCCTTTGGCTAGATCTTAATACTAGCAGGTCACCTCTCAAAAAGACACACTCTTCCTGTGTTCCATATTGCCTCAGTCCCATTTTTGCAATTACATGGCATAATAGTATTGAGTTTAAATGGACATAAAAGACAAAGGACAGAGAACAACTAAACTGGATGTCCCATCACTGGTATGGGAAAGTTCCTTGTTAAAAAAAAAAAAAAAAAAAAGAATATTGAAAACATGACATAACAACATTAAGGGGAGTTTTAAGAAACAGTTACATCACCTATAACCACATTATGTGTTATAAGACCATTCTCACTTTTGCATATCATTTCCATTTGCACTCATTTGCCCTATATACTCATAACACAGTGTGTGTTTTTTTGTATTCTGGTAGACTCTCTTGCTTTCACATCATGGCACCTTTTAGGTTGATGAAATTTCTTATTGTTTTTTGATTTAGTAGTCACACTCAATGCGCACCATAATTTATGAAGTTCTTCAGGTTTTGGGAGCAACTTCTTACTATTCCAAACCTTTACTTACCTTATATCCTCTGTCAATGCCTCCACCCCCAGCCACTTTGAAAACATCTGCTATAGCCATGGCTCAGTGACTTCTGCTTTTCCAGTCTTGTTCTTTCTTACAACTCCTCCTCTTCTTTGTCCCCATGGAGATGCTGTCAGAAATGTTAGTGTTTCCCTGGGAGAACAGGAAAGAAAGGGTCGATAGGAAATGGTATTAACAAAGCTTTAAGGGATGGTGGGTGGAAAAACTAGAAGGAAGTTGCGTGATTGTGACAGAGAATTGATAAGCCAGAGTGTGGGATGTGTGAGTGGGTGGGAG